GCAGGTGCTGGGTCCATGGTGTGGCTGGTGGGGTGGCAAGGGTTGGAGACTGCGGCAGCACCAGAAGAGCGACCAAATAAGGTCCGCGGTATGTGGACGCTGGCTGAGCCATGCTGGCAATCAACCCGATCCGCAGATTCGGAAATCAGTACTTACTGCCTGTCATCCGCTGATTCGGCACACACGTCCGCTGCCATCCGCTAAATTAGCGGATGGGGTGCGCGGCTTCCGGTCCGTTGGAAAATATCCGCTAACGCCCAAGCGGAATCCGCAGAGTCCGCTGACTGGCACCAGCCGTCCGCTGCCATCCGTGCCACGTCAGCAAGAGAGAGAGCGGGGTCCGCTAAATTAACGGATATTTAACGGATGGCACCCTCGTCCGTTATTAACGGATCCGGGTGGCCACCTCTACTTTGCGTGGACAACTTGCCTCGATTGATCCTTGAATCAAGGCCTTCGCGCGCCCACGTTCCGTAAATTGCCACTAGCAGCCGCCTCTTTTGTGCGGTCTACAGTCCATCACCATCTATCTAGTCTACCTCATGAAATGTACACGTAGTCAGCCACCTAACTGTTCTCTTTGTGTCTAGCCGTTTGAAGCTCCACAGCAATGCCAATTTCGCTAATCTCGTGTCGACGACAATTCCCACAATCGGCTGACGCTGAATGCGGTGCCGGGCTTCGCCATCTCTGTCATCTTGTCGAGGATATTCGGAATCACCCTCTGTTGTCTTGACGGCACCAACAGGGGACGAAAAGTCATGGACCCAAAAATTTGGGTCGGAAGGCAGCTTCCACCAGGCTGGTACTGAATTTCAGCCGTAAGCTACGGCGAATTCCACCATCAGGGCCTTAGGAACGCGTTTCCTATCGCTGCCCTTCCTCACAAGCACCACGCATATCTTATATCCAAACAGTGTGAATAGTTTATTACGGGCGGCTCTGTTTCGCCGCCGCGAAAGTGTGCTTCTCAAAACAGCGCAAACGGCCGTTTTTGAAGAATCGTTGAAAAACAGGTGGGTTTCTGGCTGGAGGACCTTTACTAGCCAAATCCTCAGTAATTGATGGATCGACTTCAAATTTTGACCATATACCTCGAAAACGTAGGGACAGGACAAAATTCATTGAGAAAGGAAGAATTGTGATGGAAAAGCGATGTGTCAAAGTCATACAGGACATTTGATATGGGATGGAAGAAGTATCACTAAAGCCACCGGTCTCTTTTGAATTGGTGTTGGGCCTGTTTGGCAACTGGACTTGGTTACCAAATCGCTTGGAGGTTTCGATGTTAGAATCATAGAAAAAATGGTCTGATGACTCCCAAAATTACTGGAGAAGTGTTCAGCCTGTGAAAATGCAACAATCTGACTGCGGGCTTATTGGATCCATGGATGTGGATTCGCACAAACCTTAACATGAGGCAGAGAGAGAGCGAGAAGAAGCAAGGTTTGTGCTGAGGTGTCTCATGGCTGGTTGCCTTTAAATCGTCCATGAACTGATCTCAGTCTAGTCACCTTTGGAACGTTGGCAGCCAATGGATTGGGCATTTTGTCAGAAGGTGGACAGTCTTTTGTCAGTTGGAGCTGAGTCAGCTCAGTCAACTCATACAGTCAACTGAATGACCTGTCTGTAGCCGTGCCCCCAGTTGCTGGAAAGCATTCCGCAGTTTTTCAGCTTTAGAATTGGGTTGTGTTGGGGACGGGACCCGTGAAAGAAGACGTTGTCGGATGGAAAGAGTCTGGATATTTGAAGAACGCCCGCTTTCGTTGGGGGCTTCTCTCTGTTTATTCGTGTAGGGCCAATTGCTTCCTGAATTTGTGGAATCAAGGATACAGATATGACTCTGGCAAGCCCGTCCAACCCACTTGTTGCAGTTCAACTCTCTCGGGTCAAAAAACACGAGTCACCACAATTGTTTGAGTCGGCTCAATGCTTATGGGAGGTGGCCAGGGGGCCAGCTTTGCATTTATGCCGTAAACACAAATTGCACTTACGTTTTCATCCGTAAACATAGTTTTATGGTTTTGCACGCAAGAGCGCGTAAAAATAACGTAAATGCAATGTAAATACACACCTGAGTACATAAAGACAGTACATACAAACTCTGGGAGTCCGGGGAGTGGTAGTCAGATGCACTGGAATGGGTAGAAAGCGGCCATTTGTTCCATGTCATCGCTACCCTTGCCGAAGGCGATGCGGAAATTATGTTGCGGGTGCTGGTGTTGGAGGAGAACTGACCACTGTGCAACACTTAATCGCGTGATCTGGGTGTGCAACAATATTGTCTTTCTTGTGATCCCAAGCTCTAATTTGCTGGTTGCTGGGCTTGATGGCAATTGTGAACTTGCGCTTCGACCTTTGGTCTTTTTGAACACTGCTCATTTTTCCATCTTTGGACCTGGACTACGGCACGTATCTTCCAAAACTTGGCACTTCTTTTCTTGTGAAAGTGCGCCACGTGGGTGCAACTGTGAACGGCGCATCCTTGGCAGTCGGATGGAGTGCACACGCTGATATGGTGTCGGAGTGGACGCTCACTGCTGCGTGCACTCCTGGCACAGGCGCTTCTAGAGTCCGCGAGTACCATGCCCGTTCCAACAGGCATAGCTTCGCTAAGTTACGAATGGACACGCATCACAGGCATTCCTTGAATATACGTATTTGATGGCGCATTTTGCAGGATGTCTTGAATGCCATTCAGACCGGTGGATGAATGCCTGGAAGCATGATGACTGAAACCATGCCGCTGCCCCTCAACCATCTGGTCACGGTTGCAGTGACCATATTTGCAGCAATTGAGGAGGCAAGCATTTGTGGGCCTGGCGAGAGCTCTCGCCAGTTCTACCTCGAGGTAGAACTGCTGCTTCCTAAGCATGGACGATATGGCTTTGTGAACACAGATGCTCTAAATTACAATTTGCATATACGTATCGCTATCAGAAAACACCATGTTTGCGATGCCAGCTGCGATGCCATTTTGACACAAAGTGGTGCCATCACAGTCTTTGCGATAGCACAAAAGTGGGTGTGATGCCATCAATTAGTGTCACATGGTATCGCAGTTTGCATCGCGAGAATATCGGTTTCCACTGGTGTATATAATATAGAACAATAATTGTTTTTCTCGCATATTCTTATGTTTGAAGAAATGGCATTAAGTAGAATGATGCATGAGTTATGCCCACAAATGCCGTGAATGCCATGAAAATGTGGCTATGTGTGTCATTTTGCAGTGAATAGATGGTAGATACAAAAATAAAATAACTTAATCTAACTTGATGATCGTTGCCAATTTGAGAGGCAACCGCCCACTGAGCTTGTATGGTTCAACTCACCTAACTCAAATAATTTAAATCGGCATTAGAATTTAACTTAAGTAAAAGAGATATGGATTATTCTTTTGAATTTTGAATATGACCGAATTGAAGTAAAAAATATTGCTTTCCCTAAATTTTGAGACAGTATGACAGTGAGAAATGATGCCAAGGCGCCACCTTTTGTTCACATAAATGTGCAAGCAAATCACTTGAGGGATATGACCAACCACGGGAGGATTTTGAATGGCATATGCTATTTAGATGGGCCAATGATACTGGGTCCTTGTTGTTGACGGCCTATCTGGATTCATGTGGTGCTTGTCCCTGCCATTGACTTTTAAGCAAAGATATCCATCAGGCTTGGTCTTTATGTCTAAGTTATGCACAAAATTGTGTAAACACACACAATTGTATTGACTCTCCTCGTATACGTCGAACCTCCCTTTACAAATAGCTGAACGCACTCGTTGCGCCCAAAAACATACACCAAATAAACTTTTACCCTCTTTTCCCAAGCTTAAGACCTGTTTAATAACCTCCTTTATTAATGAACAATATTGTTGCCAAATACATGTTAATGCCAATGGCCCATCCCACATAGACTCTAAAGGCAATGCCCCACATTCCAGCACAATTCTCAGGCATATTGGGTGGCATCCATCAGAGGTGCATGCCCTTCCCAATGCAGTGACGCAATTTCTAATTGTTTGTTGTGATGCCCTTGCCTCAGGTTGGAAAGCAACATTGCGGCAATGTCATGGCCCCATACTAGTAGAACATGCACCAAAGCCCTAAGTCAACATGGAGTTTGCTTGTTAATCTATCAAATTGGATGCCTGATGGTTAGTGTCTCGACATGTGGTAATATGCCTATTGTCAATCATCTGATGCAACAGGTTGCAATTGCATTCCGCCATAATCATAGCTCTTCTCCAAAGCAATGGTCACCGTTACTATTGAAACTTCGAGGTCGCACCTCCTCAGTGTGAAGAGCAAAACCATATATCACACATTGATGAAGGCAGGTAGGGTCAAGGGATGGCGACCTCTAACTTAAGACCGTTAGGCTTGAGTACAAGGCAACGATTTACAATAGGGCAACGGGACAACAAAACTTTTGTCCCTTGTATAGGGTCCCTTCATCAATGTCTTTAATTAAGTTCCTATTGCCTCATCGCCTCTTCACGCATCCAACCCTCAATAATATTGTTGTTTTTCAAACTTTTCCACACAGGAAATTCTTACAATTGCGCTTTTTGCTCCCCAATTTGTTTTCAAAGAGCTATTTTTATTATTTTTTGTGTTTTTACATAAATTTTACTGAAAGGGCTTGTTTATTTTATTGTTTTCTCCGCCAAAAAGGGCCAAGTGTTACGTTACTATGGGGAAGGGTGTAAAAACCAACAAGTACTCGATCAGCATTGGTTACAACAAGCCACCCCAGCCAATAACGTGAGAACTCCACACCCATGGTCACCGTGGCATTGCCCGTTTTTGGTGTGACTTTGCGGCGTAAGAGGTCCCACCCATTACACCACATCCCGCCCCCATCCCACCCCAGTGCCCCCGCGTCCACGGGAGGCCAAGGGGCACGCGACCGGAGCACGGCCCACGCGCGACCGCCACGCCGCGGCCAATCCCACCCCCCTACCTTAAGGAGGGTCGCCCAGAGCCTGGGCGGCGATGCACGCCCTCGCGGGCGCGCTGCGCAGGGGCGGCAGCCTGCGGGGTGCTCTGCTCGCCGGGCTGGGCAATGGCGCATCGCTGCGGATCAGCAGCAGCGCGGCGGCCCAGGCGGCGCCGGCGTCGTCGAGCGGGAAGCCGGTGCTGATGAAGGAGTTTCTGGTGTACCGCTGGGACCCGGAAACGCCGGAGAAGCCGGCGTATAAATCGTACAAGGTGGACGTGAACAGGTGCGGGGGTAAAGGGGGTGGGGGGGAGAGGGGACCGCGCCAGATCTCGCGATGGCGAGCTGGTTGGGGTGTTGGGCGGTAGAACTCGGTGGGAACGGGTTGTGTGTCGGAGAGTGTCGCGCTAGGTTGGCTGCCGGGTCGATTTGGCTGCGTCGCTCCCTGCCACCTGCCTGTTTCTTGCTGGTTGGATCCCTGCGATGGCGTTTGGATCGAGCCGGGATCGGGGGCGCTGGAGGGGTGGTGGTGGATGCCCGCCCGGAGGTGGTGAGGTGCTGACGGACCCGGGCCCATTTGTGGTGCGCAGCTGCGGGCCGATGATGCTGGACGTGCTGTTCAAGATCAAGGACGAGCAGGACCAGAGCCTGGTGTTCCGGCGATCCTGCAGGTGGGGAGCGCACCGCTGGGGGGTGCCGGGGTGAGAGAAAAAGGGGAGGGAGAAGGGGCCCTTCCGACGGAGATCCGGCTGGAGGCACGCCACCTGGATCGCCAATCGGCGGTGTCGGAAGGGACGCCCGTGGTGGAGGATCATCGTGTGTGTGGAGATGCGATGCGGTGCGCGCAGGCTTTGGCGGTAGGAAAACAACGGGGCCTATCCGTTCAGGGGTCTGCTGTGCCCTGTTGCACTTTCAAGCGCCCTGGGCCATGCCTTCGGTGCAAGAACGGAGGCGTGAGATGAACGCGAAGCCCTGTGCAAGAGTGACCGATCAACGCGGAGAGTATTCGTATGGTTCGGGCATGCGCGGTTGCCCAGCTCAATGTCCCCGGATCGGCTCAAATAAGGCTGATTTCTTGCAGCCGCGACAGCTGTTCCTTTGCCCTATGGATGGATTGCCGCAGCTCGCCACGCGTTTGAAGAGGATTGTGTGACGTAACGAGACGGGCGCCCCGCAGCGGGCGACAGCCGAGGTGGACTGTCGGCATGGCGGTGCTCCGCGGTGTCTTTTGCTGCTTCGTTAGTGGGGTTGCCGGGAGGATTGACTGCAGAGATGGCTGTGTCACCACGCTGGCCAGAAGAACCAGATGGTGCTGCGGAATATCTCCAATCCCCAGGCTGAAAATGGTCCAGCATCGTTTGCCTGAGTTCCGTGGCTTCCGTGGTTGCCGATGCCAGACTCGGGTGGACGACTGGCAAATAGGCAGGGTGCCACCTGCCCTATAATTACGTTTACAGGCAAGGGACAGTGTTGTGATGCAGTAGGTCCCCCCCTCCCCAAGCAAGAATACTGAGAAACGCTTGTCAACACTGCAAAAGATGCTGCAGCATTCTCTCAACACAGCAAAAGCAGCACCCAGCGCAGAGTAGCACCAGACATGGCTGACACATCCACATCGGAATCCTGGGGCTAAAGTGCTCCATAGTGAGCAGGTGGCATTGCCTCTGGCCGTCAGGGTGCTCATGGCACCAGCCAGACTGCCCAGCAATTGATGTGGCAGTCTCATTGCCGTTGCAGCATGGCCCTCAAGGAACACGTTATAATGGTGCTCAAGCTCCACCTTAGCCAAGTTGAAGTCAGTGAGTTATGTTGTGAAAATATGTAGCAAAGGTAGTGGACGATTGTGATTCTTCAACACAAAATTTCTCACCAGCAATTCATTGTCCAGCACCCTATTCGCTATTTACTGCCAAAACAGACTGCTGGCCTGTGGTCCCTGTGGTTTGCATCCCTTTTGCATGTGTGCACATGCTGGACTGCAGCAGCACTTCAATGCCATGCATGCTTTGTGCATGCTGTCCGTATGGTTTGCCATGCTTTGTGCATGCTCTGTGCTTGTTCTGCACACTGGTGCCTTAACCACACCAGGCTAAGTGAAGTAAACTGACTTCAATATGCATGGACGTCCCCCCTCTGCAGGATAGAAATAAGAAGTGTTGGATTCTTGGGAGTGCTTGAGCAGAGGTTCATGTGGACAACTGTTCGTCCAGTATTACAACAGCGTTTCAAAGCCATCAGCCTTTGATTGTGCCTGGCTTTCCCCTCATTTTATTACCACACTTTGACCTTCAGTGCCTTTGAAAATTCTGGGCACTATGCCACCCATTCTTTGGGCAATTTTAGTCAATGGAGAAGTTGTAAATGGCTGGCTTTTGCCAGAATATTGCTGGTGTCTGGTGCTGCAAAATCCCTGGCCTTCTGAATGCAATCTTGCTTGGTCCAGGGAGGGCATCTGCGGCTCTTGCGCGATGAACATCGATGGCACCAATGCCTTGGCGTGCTTGTCCAAAGTAGACAAGAGTGCAAGCCAAGCAACTAAGGTTGCACCGCTGCCTCACATGTATGTTGTGAAAGACTTGGTGGTCGACATGAGCAACTTCTATGCTCAGTACAAGGCGATCAAGCCATTCCTCCAGAAGAAGAGCATGGACAGGTGACAACAATGACTGTAGCCGTTTGTTCTTTTTGTGTTTATCGTTTCTTCTTCCTTTTCCAGGGGAGGGAAGTACAATAGAAACAGATAATGTGGGTGCACCATTGTGCAGCATGGTGCCTTATGTGACAGTGTGACAGTGATTGGGATTTTTGTATAGATTGAAAAACCCCACCATGGACAGTCGTTGTACAGCTGCATCGCCTGGCCCACACACCCACTGACAGGTTGCAGGTCGAGTCGCTGCGTTAAACAATGCAGGCAGTCCATTGCTGCAGTTTGTATGTGTATCTCAACTAGATGTTATGCAATACGGATAGCTTAAGTTATTCTTTTGCAAAAGAGGCCAGAACAACTGTTGTTCTGTGCATGCAATGGAACATTCAAGCACCTTGAGGCACTGTCTATTGGTCAAACAGTACCAGTCAGTCAGTTCGTGGCAGTGATGTACCCCGTGAAGCTGTGCCGGTCCGGATGTTGTGCTTGTGTTTTCACTTGTCTTACAGATGAGCACTTCACCTGACTGACACTGAGTGCCTCACTGATAGCATGCCTGTCAGTGTGGGAGGCCTGATGCCTTGCTGCCTAATTGGCAGTGCCAGGACTTGGCTCATGCAGGGAACAGTGATTTGATGCTGTGCTGCATTTTGGTGTCGTTGCAGCGGGGGGCAGGAGTGGTTCCAGTCGAGGGAGGACAGGGTGAAGCTGGATGGGCTTTATGAGTGCATCCTGTGCGCCTGTTGCAGCACAAGTTGTCCAAGCTACTGGTGGAACCAGGACAAATACCTGGGACCTGCAGTCCTCCTGCAGGCATACAGGTGACGGATATGGCCTGTTCGATCAGTTTTGCTAAAGTACAAAATTGTACTTTATTCACCTTCCCGGTGCAGGGGAGGGATAAGAGGTGCAGTGCTGTTTGAGAAGGGTCATGTCCCCACACCCTAAGAACCCAGGATGTCCCAAAGAACAGAAAAGAATCTTACATTCATTGCAAGAATGGGTTGTGTGGCATCCTGGCATGTGAGGTAACACTCTTGCAGGTGAACCAGGCCCTGTGGTATCGACACTGGGCAGTCCCAAAGCTCTTGGTAGGGCTCGGCCGATGCTTTAAGTGCTTTGAAGCAGCCTCAAGCCAGATGGGATGTGCTCAGATGGAGCGTGAGCCAGGCAGTGGGCACAGTAACTGTTGATGTCATTCAAGCTGCAGAAAAGACGATGCTCAATAGCACCACCCCTCTACCCCATGCCACTGTGTTCCAAGGCATCCATGGACCTGCTTTCTGCCTATTCCTCAGGTTTCAGGTTGGGAGGGTGGCCACTGTGAGGGTTGGTGGGGTGAATTGGAGCTTGAATATCTGCTGGAGTGCATGGCAAAGTTGACAAAGGGATGATAAAGCTGTGCCCTTGCATGTGGAAGGTGACGACAGACATAGGAGAGGAAGGGAATGGGCTTGAACTGCTGTCCCATGTGGTTGGTAGGATGTCTTGCCAATTGAGTAAGGGAACATCAATAGTTTTGGTTGCATCAGTTCTACTTCGTTGAGTATGGGGTGCAGAAGACTGGGGCAAGGGAGAAAAGAGTAAACCAGGCTGGAAACGATGCTGGAAAGCGTATGCTTTGGTTCCCTATGTTGGCCAGATGGAATGAAACCTAAAGAAACAGCATTGCACATGGTGGTTGCTGTTTCCTCCTCACCACGATGAGAAGTGTCTGCATTCATCACAAACACCCCGGAACAGCGGGTTGCTGCAGTCTGGCACAGTGCCCCAGGTGGACAGGTGCAAGGAGAGCCCTTATGGCAGCAGGAAAGATTGAAGTTTCTGCAGTGTGTTAACTTGACATCTATCCAGGAAAGTGTAGTATAAAGTGCTTGCCACCCTGCTGTGCATTGTTTTCGCCTTGAAACTCGTTGTGGTATTCCATGCTCATAAGCTCGTGCATGTCTTTGTGTGCAGATGGGTTGTGGACAGCCGCGATGATGCCACACAGGAGCGCTTGAAGTATCTGGATGATGCCTACCGCGTGTACAGGTGCAAAACCATCATGAACTGTGCGACAGTGTGCCCTAAGGTGAGGACAGCTAAAATATAGTTATTGTCAATTATACTGATAAATCTCAGCTTTGGATCGAATTGCTGCAAGTTATGAAACTCAAATAATGTGGACCACTGTTCAGCAACAAATCCATTTGGCCAACAGGTGTACACTGGTCAGCTGGGTACACAGACTCTGTAGCAAAGTGTGGAATGTGCTTGCTGTTGTCTGGTGCGGTACTCCCGTGGCAGTCTTGCTTGAAATGGACACTGTGGGAGCGCTGGCTGTCGTTGGGGGTTGTGTTGCACATGACAGACAAAAATTAGGGCCATGCACAAAACTTCTTGTTTGCTGTGTTGAGTCAGTGATGCGATGGTTGTGTTGGCATGATGTTGCTCCATTTGCTCCATGCTAGCACAGTGAACAGCTCTTCGTTCAGTCAGTTTTGCTCACACTAGTGCTTAGTCGATCGTGTAAAATTGCACTGACTGCTTTTGCCAGAATATGGCAGATCACAGCCCTGACGCCTGTAGTGAGCGACATCGGTCGCTGTAGGCATATGTAAGTTCCTCTCCGATCGTCATTCGTCCTGCTGCCTCCACACAGTCATCAGTGCTGCCTGTGCCCTGTCGACCAAACAGTATTACAATATGCAAACTGGTGTCTGAAGGGAGGCTGGCACTCCCTGATACATAACATGCTTCTAGGACAAGTCCATGGACTCGAACTGTTCATAACAAGGATGGTGGTGGCGAGCAACATGATTCTTAATTGCATGCTGTAAGAATCAGGGGCTTCAACAGCATGCCAGGCTCCTAGACAAGTACCTGTAGCTGGAATGCTCGCAACCTGCGACTGTCTAATTCTGCCTTGATGCCGAAAGACACAAGAATTAGTTTCCAGAATCTTGCTGCAGGCGAGTTTAACCTATATATACATCAGCTTTGGAGTCACATGCCAGATTGATTTCCCTGTCCTGATGCAAGAATGATTGCCCTGGCCTGGCTTGCATTTGATTTGTTGAGCAAAGACACCACTCAAAAAGCGCACCTGCATGGCTGCCCTGCACCTACCAATGGCTGGGCGTAGTGTTGTCCAGGTAGTGCCTGTTCGTCGCCCCCTTTCATGGCTTCGAGCACGCAAGAAGTATTGAAGTATTGAGCAGAATGCGCACCTGTCTGTTTTGGCGAAGTGTCTGTTGTTGGGACCTCGATGTATGTGCCTGGAAGTTGTCGCTGGAGCCTCCAATCGTCATAGTAGAAACGCTCTGCTGCTGCGCAGGGACTCAATCCCGGAAAGGCCATTGCCAAGCTCAAGCAGAGCATCCACGCCGAGAAGGCCATATGAAGGCACACAGGCAGATGAGAACCAGCCCCCTTCACTCGCATGCTGCCTGCATGGAAGCTTATCGAGCTGGGCGCTTGAGTGGCTGAAATGTGTCTTCGCGCCAGCATGCATGCACACAGAATATGCGAAGTTATGCACGCCATTGCTCATGAAGCTTCGCCCGGGTGGATTGCATATCTGGTGGGGCCATGAGCAGGCGCCACCAGCTCGTCAGGGTGGCTGTTGGGGCGTGTGCTGAGCGCGCAGGTGTCTTCGGATCGACGGTGCCAGGCCCGAACAGCGCAGGAACAGGTTGTCAGATAGTGCTGTGAATGTCTTTGTGCTGGTACTGTGTACGTAGTGGTTTCACGGGCCGCGATGAGACACGCTGGACGTCTTGCCGCGACAATGGCTGTGATCCAATTGTAAACGTGCCATTACGGTTTCTCTGCAAGACAAGGGGGCAGCAGGCCTCTGTCCCAAAATTGGCAGGGTAGAAGCAGTGGGGCTGACCAGGCAAGGCTGCCGGGGCAGGTGCAGGCACAGCGCGCTGCTCACGAGAGACACAGCAACCCAAGAGACCATGGACTTTCTGTGACAGCCGAGCGCCAGCGTTGAGAGCGGCACAACGCTTGCCGAGTCACCGTCATGTCCCCCATCAGTATTCCCACTGTCTGCGCATCTGACCTGAACTCGTCACAACAGGCTGAAAGGGGTAGCGTGCCTGTGAAGCATTCACTTGTAGGCATTGTCCATGATGGTGATTGTCCATTATGATGTTAGTTGGTAAAATTCGTTGTGCTTTTTGTTGGCAAATGTCACATCAAATGCCACGGCTCGGAATAATGCTCATTCATTGCCGTTGCGGCTCATGGCCAGATCACGTGTAGTGATCTAACTCAACAACATCCGTCCCCTGCCCAAGGGACACTAGTTATTATCTTCACTTCGTGAATGAGGTCATCATTGTTCACCATAAGCAAAGGGAAAGATTGGCAACGTGGGACAGATGCGAGAACTATTTTGGAAGGTCAACGTCAGCAGTTCTTCTGAATGCGAATCCGTCAAGAATCAAATACATGATAACAGCAAAATCCAAGAAGTGCAATGACCGGACACAGAGAATTTGAACTGGTACAACGAAAGCTGCACGATCATTGAGGTTTCTACGACGTGGCTCACTCCTTGACCGATGTGGAATCAACATCGATCCAGATCGACACGAGGCAGAAATTCAAGCTCGGTAGCATCGTCCAGACCCCGGACGTTGTGGACGGGAAGGCTGGACGCTTGGACCCATTCGACTGCACAATATTGTTTCCGAAAGTGTGCACAAGAGATCGCCCCGTGTGAGAGAACAGGCTGATGTGTTTTCTGCAAAGACGGGCGGCTTGAAGTGAAAATCAGAATAGCTGTGTGCGAACGCGTCGCGGGCTTCGGGCCTGGGGACGGGGAAGAAATGCACTTCAGTTCAGTTGTGGTACGGGAAAGGAAGGGGCCGCAGAACCAGATCGTGGCGGTCGGCCCAAATTCGTGCGCGAAAATTTGGGACAGACAAAGACATGGGATAGCCGTACAGGAAATTTCAAGGGCGTCGAATGCGGCAACGGGACGACTTGCAGTGGTGAGAAAGACTCCTGATTTTATTTACGGGCGCATATTGGGCAGATGCAAGGGGAACACAGTCGATTTCCTTTGGAATGGGAACAACATAGGGATATGAGCGGGGATGGTATTATTGAATGGCGCGAGGTTGCCTGCATGCGAAAATGGTCCTCACTATGAAAGCACAGGGAATATGTTGGCAATACCAGCAACCAAACCAACTTGGTATCTACAGATGTTGGTTTCATCCATTTCATTCCTTCCTTCACAGGAAAGGGAAGTCCGCTGTGAGCGGACAGTGGCCTCCAGTTGAAGATCCAACCTGCATGAAAATAGCAGCAGGATGTGGCGCAGAAATTCAGTGTCACATTGCCCTTTCGGGCAGGTCCGATCTGTGCATAAACCATGTCAAATATTTGACGTTTCCCTAAAGCTAAAGAAGGCACTATTTTGATTTTGGTACGCTTAGCTTCAATGCGACGTTAGGCTCAGACACCCACAACCCACCACCACCACCCAACCCCCCTGAGGGTCAATCCTTATTTCGATTCCAGGATGATACAGCAGCCCAACCTAACAATGCCACACAACTTCGAAATAATTTTAGGAGAAGAGACGGCCAAAATTGTGGCAATTCTGCAGTGATTTGAAAAACGGTATGCCAAAAACGATGATAGGCAATGAGAGCAACTCAAAAGCCTGAAACTGATTCATTCTAAGGACGACCTAAATGGTTAAAGTTTAAGGGAGATTTCGCAACAAGTTATGAGCAATTTGCCGCTGATCAGTGGCGCTTTCATGCATTTTCCAATACATCTTCCCGTCGTCCCCCCTCTACCGCAATTCTCATGTCGATGCCAGGTTCATTCAGCAAAATTACACAACGGAACTGGAAAATGTGGAGGCAGTTTCGCAACATCACATAATGGCCCCTGTTTCACTGGGTGGATCATTTATGCATTATGGTGTGCGACTTGCATACACTTCAAGAAAATGTTTTACATGCGAGGCGTTCTGAGTCTATGAAAAGAAAAGAAAAGTATGCTCGAGAATTCGCAGAATTAGCTCCCTCATGATGGGACTTTTGTGAGCATCTATTTGATTGTCGTGGGAGATGCCATCTGATTCAGAGACATATGCTATGGTTGGGGTAGGGCGCGCAGTTGCAACGCTTCTACATTACTATTGAACTTATGGACGCCTTTCGACATGTGTTTTGTGAAGTGGGATGCATTGTGGCGATGAGTGGGCGTTTCTGAAGTGTCGCATGGCCGGTTGGTGACGGATAATGGTCCTTGTCACGTGAAAAGGAGGGCTCTGTGGGCGCAAGGAGATTCGAACTGTTCAGTTGCGGGGATTGTTGCCAACGTCGGCAAGGCTCTTGGCTGTGGGAAGGGTGAACATATATGTAAGCCCCGGACATTTTGTGTGTGACTGTGGCCTTGTGTCTGGCCGTGTGCCAACGCCTTCGAAGCATCGGTGATCATGGATTGCTGCTTCCCTTGCGCACTCCAAAGGGAGCCGTTTGAATCACATCAACGGCATAATGCCGAAATGATTTCCTTCAAGGTGTTTTTAAGGAACATAAACAGCCAGAATTCACCAGTTAAAAATCGGCCAAATTATACAGTGAGAATCGCGTACCTTGTTGTGCGTGTAATAATCGTGTACTGATCACAAAGTACACGGTTGCCGCTGTTACACGGCTTAAATGGTGCAAAACAGTGATGTTTATCGCACTTTCCATGATGTTAAAGTGGGCCACTCTTGTATGTTACGCAGGGCGGAAAACTACATTTTAGCAATCGTGTAAAGTCGTTCTGCAAAGTACCCGATTTTTACACGATTTCAACACGATTTCACATGTGATTGCACGCCACGTTAAATGGTCGATTTTTCACCAATGATTGCAAAGATTATAGTGAATTGGAAAACGGGATGGCAAAGGCCATTGTGGATGATTGCGGCAGTTTTGATGGCTGCCTATTGGATATTCTGTGCCATTCGTTCAAGACTGAATTTTTTTGGGAGGCCTAGGAACAAGTCATGACTTGTTCAAGAGCCGTTTGCCGGTCATCAGCAGCGCTTTTGGACAATTTCTCACCTTATGTCGATTGTGTGGCAATTACATAATCTCATATTGTTACAGTCAACGTTTACTAAGCGGAACAAGCCCACACAGTGCCTTCACTTAATTGAAGAAAATTGCGACATAAATGCGTACCGTATGTGAACGGCTAGAATTTTTTCTTTCTTAAGAAAAGGCGTTTACATTACCTACGCTCGATACTCAATTCACCGATGTTTGCATTCAAAGAGCGTGTCAACACTGAATCAATCTGAGTCGATCACATGTTCCAATTTTGGTTGAAAGCACGCACAGAAAAGCACCACGGTCCATTTCGCCACCACTGCTATAGAAAGCCGCTGGTTCTTTCATGCTAAGAGCAATCGCATCTTTTCTTCGGCTCCACTCTCCTGTGCGCGTTGTCGCTGCTGTGCACTCGAGCATCTCCTCACGCCCGCAGGACTGTACATATCATTTGACAGCACGGAAAGAGTCCTATACGCTTACTAGATTGGAAGGCTGCACTTAGTGTGAGCTGTTTAGTTTGTAGTGTAGCCATTTTACACCTTCCCCTCCAAAAAGAAAGGAAACTTTCTCCATGATGTCCCTGACTCGAATAATACGCATCACTTCCTGCCAATCACAGCACAGCCAGCGGCGATTGTTGATGCAACTCATCAGGTTATCTGGGCATGCTGTGGTCATTTTCCCTTGGAGGACCCACTACAAATAAGATTTGCTTGCATGCTGAATTGTTCAATAGGCAAGGTATCTGGGCAGGGCATACATGGGAAAAATGTCTTCACAAACTCCCTACACTGTTTTTCGTCCACGCTGCTCTGCATGCACCATTCCTACAGCGACACTCCTTCTAAACAACACAGGGGACCTGCGGCAACAAGCCACAATTTCACACACGCGTTTGAGACCGTGCTGATCCACACGGGCCGCCCTCCCCCAACCCCCCGAACCCGACATTCGTTCGAATCACATCCTTGGCAGTGAGGCTCTATCAGGCTGACTCCCATTGGCTATCTTTTTACCCACCCTTGCAATTGTCAGTCGTGCCCATTCCATTCCTCACCAGGGTCGCATCCTCTGCATCCTCACATCAGATCCATCTATGTCCCTTAGCTGTAAATCCCACGCCATCTCCAATGCAACATTTAATAAAGCCTAGCCATTGAACTCGGACTCCGGCTGTGGGGAGCGCAAAGGTCTTCAAGCCGAGACAACGGATGGTGCTACCTGCATACTGCTCACGAAAGGCTGATCACGAGGGTGGAAGTCAAATGGTTTGTGGCCAACAATCGAGTCACTTCGTCGATATCAAAATCCTGCAGATGGTGGGATGGGCAGCTGTGCCTATCAAGGAGCACTATGTATGGATGCATGCAAAAGTACTGCCGCACCAGTAAAGCTTCTCCTTTAAAGCAATTAGGCATACGGGTATATGGGTATCTGGCACAGGTAGTGTAGGTTTTGGTGCAGGTGCATAAATGCAATGTGCAATGAGCCCTAGCTTCTGCATGTTCCTTGCTGCATATTTTGCTGGCGACAGGATGCAGCAGCGTAAGTTTTGGAACCGTGACATTTACTCTCTGGGTGAAGAGCAGCAAACGACCAAAGGCACCGTGTTGGGTTCCTGTGATTACCAACAAACCAGTGAAGGCATGATGCAGCTTCAGGTCACACACTAAAGCGAGAGCGACGGGCGCTTAGGCAGGCCAGTAAAGCGGATTGAAAACGAATATGATTGTATGATATTATGCACATTCCCAGCACCGAAATTACTGTTGCCAGTGCAGTACCCGCACAAGCACTGCATGCCAATTGATGCTTCAGCAACATACCGCACTTACCTGTAGGCTGGTTGCCTCTCAGAAGATTTGATAAGAGTTTAAGGCGCTCACAGTAATTCCAAAGGAAGGTTGTTTGGTGGAGCCGCCGTTGTTTGATGATGACCTGGACAGTGCCCCCAAATTTTCAAAGATCCAAAGGCACAATCTACAAAAAAATTAACAAAAACAGCATAAAAAAGGATGCACAGATAATTATCTGTTGGGTTATAACCCAACAGATTCAGAATCCACACAAGCGTGGGAATCAGTGCATCGACTCTTGGTGGCCGCCTTCGTGTCTGCACGCCAAACGCCTCCACCAATGCCGCGCAGCGACCATGCAGTACGACATGAATGTCAAACGCACAGCCTGGCTCCACATAACGGATTCCTTAGGGAAGTCCTAGATAAGAGCGAAACGTGTCTTGACACAGTGGAGCTCAGCCTCTTTAATAGGACGCTGCAATTTTATTCTTATCAAGACTTAATCTATGAGTCTCGAGCAACTGAAATTGATTCGGAATTGTGATGAGAAAACGAACACGGAGCGCTAAGGGCAAACTGGATTCTGGGCATTAAGGGATCCATCCTTGCCAGAAATGCATTGGCTCTTTTGCCAATCTATCAATCCGGAGGGGGAAGCTCACCGTCGATGCTCAAAGGAAAAATATTTTTGGTGCCAATACATGAATTAATGAAATTCCCATATGTGGGAGGCTGGCAATGGAGAAAATTTCCAGCTTTGATTGCATGCCATAAGAAAACATTGCTGCAGATGTTTCAGGACTTTTGGTTACCCTTCAGAAAATCAAATTCTATTTAACAAGCTCTGCACGCTAAATATGTGTTGGTGCATCGTCTGAGAAACCCATGCTGTAGTCAATCAGCACTGCACTGTCCGCCCCCGGCTCGCGCACCCCAACGGATGTGAGCTTGCCCTGCCAATGTACGGGATACTGGCCCACGAAGAGCAGTACGGTATTGTGGCGCAGGCTTGCTGTTGCACCAATGTCCTCCCTGTCTCATCTCACTACCGGCTACTTATCAAAAATCTCTCAGGAGATCAAGGAAAATGGCAGAAGCTGAAATCGAAAGCGCAATCCCGGCATACAGTATCGTCGAGGAAAATTCGGTTCAGTTAAATTTGCTCTTGCTTATGGAGGGCAAGCCGAGTCTGAATGTGAGAAGGTTCTGTTCGACTCTGGATTCATGGTTCAACATTGTTTCAATCAGCATCACTCCCCATTCTGTGCCTGAGATCCACGCATTGTCCCAATGCATGTAATTTAATGCAGTTTACAGACTTCAGTCAAACGCAAGCAGAAATAGTTGTGGAGGTCGCAGTGAAAATCAGAAGTACTTCATATTCGTCTTTCCATGATCGATAAGGACGACTGGCAGCACCGCTGCCAGGAGATCTCCTGCCTAGACAGGCCGTTCCAAAGAGCTTGCAGTGCGCCATAGGATAGGATCTGTTGCCGCCAGCTGCTGCAGTTCTGTGAGAAACGATGGTTGGTTCATCGAAGGCGCTCGCGTTGTAGGTGGTATTGCGCTTGACGCTGTGTGGCCAGCCCGTCAGTCGTCCGTTGATGCGAAGCTCCTCTGCGCTGTGGAGATAACCACGGCGGGATATAGAAGGAACCACTTGATCAACCCATTTGATGACAAAGCCTTCCTCACTGAGAGGGGTATGTGCTATACCAGAACTTCTGCGACCAGCACAGATTTAGAATTGGACTCACTCTGCGCTCACAACGTGTGTATGTTTTCTACAAGCGCACAACATGACCAGAGGCTTATGTGGGACGTGCTGATCAGAAACGAGCCCCCGTTTGTATGGCAAATTTGCCTTGCATTTGAAACTACTTAAACATTTTAACTCGTAAATTTATACACTTTAAACTATTTTAAGCAATTTAGACTCATAAATTTGTTAGACCGAAAACCCAAACCCCACGGCTCACGTCATTCACCACGATCCAGATACAGTCCAAGCATTTTGTCCCACCTTGTCGAGCATTTTCGTATTGTGGTCAATTTTCCAGACTTCTGCAGGGCTCCTTGTTCGAACTAAGTATTTCTTGCCAAAGCTATGCATGCACATAAATACTTCAGAAATACACAGTGGTACAACGGCAAAAATATTTCAACTAATTGCTCGAAGTAATAAATGGATGCTGCACTCAGCATTTCCAAAGCGATATGTGTTTGTGGGCAACATCTCCCACTCCCACAGCATTATGTGCTATAAGCAATGTGGTCCACAAAACTGACATCATCCTGGGTGCAATACATAGTAGCCGAATAAGTATTTAAAAGCAATGCAGACGGCGCTGAGCAATTATTGTGCTGCACATTATGTGCAGTACAGCTCCCGACTTAGTTGCCTGCATAGCACGAAGCACCTCATGTCAAAAGGCTAAAGGAAGCACCAAAGCATTCCCTTGGAAAGCCTCCCTTGCCGGTTCTCTTCTCTCTCAATCAGGGCCAATTTGCAATTTCTTCCTTCTATTGTCCAAATTGGGGCATTTCATTATTTTGACATCCAGAGTATTCGAAATATCAGGGTCCATACGGACACCAATGTACCCCCATGTGCATACCAGCCAATGCCCACTGGCTGCTTTTCTGTATATCTCACTCAAATTCAGACATACGAATAGTATTATATTACAAGCGGACACCAAACTTAGGGAAAACCAATTGGCTAGATTCCACATGCCACGCGCCACTCTCCGGCAGCACAGAACGATGTTCCCCTCCCTCCAGGCCCGTCTACGTACCCCAATATAATGCACTGCTGGCGACATTCTGCGAGATTGATGGAAGTTGACTGTACTAAACGATACAATGCATAAACCTTGCTGTGGCCTAGAGTAAGAAATAATTCTCAACAATGTCTACCTGCAAATCGCTGAGAGTCGTTTCTTAGCCTCATAGCCCATTCGCCATTTCCTAGGACCAATTGAGGCTGTGGTGACACACTCCACACATTACTACCTACCGGCAGTATGACAATCCCAACCCCACACTGCAACGACACCCTAATGCCTCAACTTTGGCCGATTCGGGCATGCTCCTTGTTTCCCTTGTTTCATTACCCGCTTCAAGAAATTTGGACCCGTGCACCGAATCCATACATTCAAAAAAGCCAAAGGAACAGAAAATGGAGGAGAGATAGGAACAAACCCCAAAACACAAGACAAACGCCTTTCCATCTTCGAGCTTTCGAAATGCAGCGTTTAATGAACTTGATGACGAGTACATGCGAACGGCGTGTGCTGCCCACGGAGAACGGCGGATGGATGCGACGCGAGTGGGAATACGAGGTCAATTTGCAGAACATGCTAGCCGTAGTCAATGGGCCTCGGGAATGGAAGCCGTCACAAGGACCGTGTTCGCCATTGCCAACAGCTGCCCCGCGTCAAGTAGCATGCCTCCAAAGGACGAAGGGAAGTGCATTTCCATGCACCAGCCCTGGGCCTCGCTGCTGGTCCACGGCGTGAAGAGGATCGAGGGGCGCAGCTGGCCCACGGACCTGCGGGGACGCCTGTGGGTCCATGCCACCGCCAAGGCGCCAGATCCGCAGCACGTGCGAGAGGTGAACATTAGTCTCCTGATTAAGAAGAGAAACGTGTGGCGCTGCGCCGCCGTCCCCCCCCCCCCTTCCGCTTCCCTGCCTCTTGAGCAAGAATTGTGCGAAGTGTCTCCACAGAAGCCAGCACCCAGCAGCACATAGTGGCACGCCTGGCAAGGAATGTGCACTCAGAGGAGAGGGGTTGGGTGTGGGGAGGGAGAAATTTTGCCCACCGAAGAAAACAGGCCATACATTGGAGCCCCAACCCCACCTCTTAGGCAGGTGGTCTTGAGACTCTTCCATACTGTGAAAGGTGATGTGTAGAGTCTCCCATTGCGCGAAGATGAGCACACAGCACAAGAGCATAATCATTCGCTCAGGATTTGGGGGACAGGGGTTATGAGCAGAGGTGGAAATTGCCCAAGAGGTGAATATCACGTGCGGCAGGTAGAGGCATTGTACAGGACGATTTACGAGATGGAGGGGAAGACTGTTCGATTCCCGGAGTCATATCCATCGGGCGTGCTTCTGGGTTGTGTTGAGGTGGTGGACTGCCTGCAGGGAACAGATGTGGAGGGTTGGGAGGGGCTGCCAGACTCGATAAAGTTGGAGGTGAGAAGGGGAGGCCACCGCAGTGGGTTCATCAAACACAATTGGGACCAGTTCCTAGACTTTTGAACTTTCTGCAATAAACTGGAATAGAGAAGGCAGCGATTGGCAAATGAGGCCTGTGATTGTGCACATTGATAACCAATTCTCACAAAACGCAACTTGTCGATCAGAATTCTGACCGCACAATGCTTCAGGAGCAATTGTCAAAGACCATGGCCCCAGCTTGTACTACATGGCAATGTCCGCCTGAAGTGGACTTCGCATGTAATAGCCATCTTATGTGCAGCCCCAACCCCTTCCATGCGGGTGAAATGCCCAGGTGTGTCATCGACAGACTGAAGTGCCTGCCAAGTGAAAGGCCCTGTCAGGTGCACAGCCTTGCCCAATTCTCTTCTTCCTGAATCCTTAAGGACTCCAGGCTGAAGTTCCTGCTTTTCCCCCCACCCCCACCCATCCACCCTAGGTTGGCTCTCCATACTGCTTTCTCTGTGAGCAGCCGCAGCGGCTGCTGGTTCTCCATCCTGTGAGGGGATGGCCAGGAATATGGAAGCTGCCAAAGAAGATCGTTGACACTGCTGGTGTCGGCCTTGCGAGGCCCACCTGTGTTGAGGGAGAGCATTCCTGGAAACGCTTTGGCCGGCCAAAGGTGTCTCTCCAAGGACAACGGCCCACCAGTGGAAGAGAGAACATGTGGAAGGAGAAGTATGGGAATGCCCTGAACAGAGGTGGTGTGGGTCAGTGAGCTCGACACGCAGCTCGAATGGGACCAACATCTGGACCTTGTGTGAACTCAACTCCTAAGGCAAAGGAAGATACTGAAGCCCCATTGGCAATGGGTGGATGAGACAGTGATGCAGCGAGAACAGCAATTCTCTTGACACACCAAGTTTTCTTATTCCAAACACGATCCGCTTGTCTGAGATAATGTCCAGGATGAGGCTGCTGGACACTTGATTATTCCATCAGCAGTCAGCTGAAGATGATGTCAAGGTGTTGTATGTGTCTGACTTGCAAGCACTCCAAGTGCAGGGGTCAGGAAGCCACAAAACATATTGCGGATCGTACCAGCTGACTCACCATGGGCTGTTGGGAGACAGGAACGAGCTCCAGCGGATGTTGTGTTTTGCTGCATGCAGCCCCAAGTTGTAACTATGCAGGCATTGGGAATCGAAGGAGAAGAAGAACTGGTGGGGATGTGCTAAGGGAAGCAATGGGCAATGGGGCAACAGATGCCTGCTGCTAGGATTGAATGCCAGTGGCAGTGCCGGACGCGATGTGGCATGAGTCAAGCTTTTTCTGGATTTTGTGTGTGCCACCCCCTGTGCAAACCAGGTCACTTTGGACAACTGTCTTCACCTAGACTGTTGCCAATCGTGCAGGTGAAAGATGTGCCTGGCCCCGATTTAGCTTTTTGAGTTGGACGCTTGCAGTCACGGATTACCCACACGGGTATGAGGTTCGCAGGGTGTGTCGAATTGAGAAGCCTCTCCTCATTTCAGACTCATGCTTTCACTGTGGCCAAGGGACTTGCAGAAATGTCCCGCTTGTTCCATCCTACCCGGCTCTGCCCATTTCTGGATGGGCACATGATTGCCACCACTCACAAGAAATGGCCTTCGGCAAGATCGCCGTTGCCAACGTGCTCCCATTAGCAGACTCAGACGCTTGCCCTGCTGGCAAAATTGGTGGAGTCTGCCAGAATATGGATGCATGCAAGACGTCCAGTGCATTTAACAGCAGCTGAAGTATCAGTAATGGCCCGATGAGATGTACAACCAGGCCGCCACAACATCTGTGCTGGTTCTTGAACTGCATTTAGCCGCTTCTTTGTCGTCAATGGGTAACTGTGGGCCTGGGTGGATGGCCGTTGGCAGTCTCGTGCTCTCCTGGCGATGCAAAATCGACAAGCTCCGCCAGCTTGCAGCCCAGGGAAATGACGGTGGGGTGGGTGTCTGCCTGGAAGGCGATTGGTGTGAAGGGGTTGCCTCGCAGGCCTTCCTTGGGGTCGTGGGGGACTGGGGAGGGGACAGTGACTTTAATCCTGCGGTGAAGAGCAAGGCACGCTTCAAAGATCGCTTCATGCAAACGTCCGCACGGCTGCTGTTGGTGCAAGCTACTTTCCAGGCTTGAACAGGACATGTGAGAGCAGTGTTGCAGTCCTTGGTGGCGCCTGTTTCTTGTGAGAATGTTGCAATGAGTGACATTCATGCCTGCGAAGTATGGCCGCCTGCGTTTGTACCGGATCAGCAATGCCGTTGCTACCGAGTGCTGCATGAACGCAAGGGATCTGTGGTGCATGCTCGGCGCTGCCGTTCCTTTTTTGAGGGAATTAGCGACTCGGCTGGTGACTTTGGACATCATTTGCCTGAGCTTGTAAGTTCGTTTGTCGCTCTTCAAATGAATCGCAATGTCATCATGGCATGATGCTGCCACTGTTTGCGTCAATGTATTTCGACCAACATGCTTGTTCAGTGGTGAGTGGAAGAAAACAATGTGGGAACTGTCGATGGCAACAGCAGCTGCTATTGCCCACCGAACACAGGGCGTGCCTTGCCGTCTTAAGCCAAACCTTTGTTTGGAACGTTTGCGGTACTGTCCATGGTGCAGGATGTACAGGATGTGCAGGATGTGTAGGACGGTAGAAATGCCACGTGGGGCACCAAGAATGAGACCTGCAACATCCTATGCGCCCACCAGCATATAAATTGCAATGTGTGCGCTTGCCGCGGAGAAGTGGATGATGAGTCTTGGGCACGAACAATACCGCAGTTGCTGGGTAGGATTCCAAACTTCCTAAAGCCGATCGCTGTGCGATATTTGGATCCCATTTTCCAATCACACCTGAAGCCCGGCTCCGCACTGTCAACATGAAGCACGATTGGCGCGTCCAAGCCATACACATGGATCGGTATGCTCCTTGGCTCCTCCTCAACGACGTTGACTTCTATGAAGAAAGTGCCTTGGTGAGGAATGGCAGTCCACAGCTGTGTGACGACCAAAGCCGTATCGTCTTCTTCAGTGAGCCTCTGCATGCACAAGACGGAAGCTTTTGGACATTTTGACAATTGACCCAATTCGTATTGGCACAGGCAATGGCTATTTCGTAATACCTGTTGATGCACATCACTGCAAATCTACAAGTCTCCTATCTTGATCAGTATGCACTACACGGTACCAAGCTGTGATGCTGTGGTGTATTCCATTTTGTGCAAAGTGGCTTAAATTATGTTCTTCAGATATATGCATTTGCACGTTGGGCACACCGTGTGACATTGCGTGCGTTGTCTCTGCTTCTGGCTGATCACAGCGACAAGTAGAATAAACCTGTGGAGCTGCAATTGAGCCATTGCTGCCAGGGTGGCAGTGCGCGCAGAGCATCGCTGCCCCTAAGGCTTATTATGGAACCCGCAGTGGCCAACAGCTCACATCTGAGGGGTCACACAAGTAGCAAATGTTAGGCAGCAGCTATTGCTAATGCATGCACGTGTCTGGTGGGGGAAAGCCCCTAAATTCCCTGCTGGGTGGCTCCTCCACCTTTTGGAAAAGTAGAGTGTTGTGGCCGCCCTCCCTTGGCTCGATGACCGGCCGCAATTGATCATCCAGCAGCGCGTGCCGAAAGCCGTGATGTTCAGGCGCCCTCAGGGGGATCATGATGGTGGGCATGGGATCGCCCTCCCTGGGGCCGCACAACAGCCATTCATGCTTTGAGGGGCTTGCGCTCAACTCATGCCAGTGCTGAGAGTTGCGGTTCTGTACACCAAACCAATATTGGAAAGCACCCGGTACTTGAATAAGTTGCAGCTTGATGTGCGCACATCAATGCTTTGGGCGTTAGGAGTTCCCTACATGGAAATTTTGTGGCAAGTTGTTTGCCGAGACTCTCAGTAGTTTAAGACTCTCAGCCTGAGAGTCTCAGGCTGTTAAATTCAATCCGCATCTTTTGGCGCACACCCCAAATTCGAACTCAGGGATGCGCATCGCGTTGCATCCCTTGCGTGCTGCTCAGTGTTCTTGTCGCCCAATTTCTCAGAAAGGGTATTCAGCATTGACATTGAATCGTCGATCCCCACCTGCCAGGCTGCAGCGCTTCGGTGTCCCGCAGGCTGTCGTCCAGCAGCGCGATTTGCTTGTCAAGAAAGAGGAGGCTGCAGAGCGGCAGGTTCCAAAACGCCTCGAGGCCCACTGGCTGGGAGAGTAGTTGCCAGTGCTCCTCGAGAGGAAAGTAGCGGTAAATGAAGAACTCTGGAGGAACATAGAAGGGTACGTTGCCTTTGCGCAGTGCCGCCCATGAGCAGTCGAAAAGACGCCACCTGCGGCAGAAAAGCGCTGAGCCAATGGTCTTTTGTGGTCCGGGTGGGCTTAAGGACCCTTTGGTCCAAAGCGAGTACAGACCGCTCTTTGTCTTGAGCACGATATCAGTTAGAGTCACAGTGCTCAGTTCCAAGCCTACATTGGCGAGCGACACGGTGAGCTCATGGTGAGGGGCGGCCACCATGGAATCATGGCGCCGTGGCGGCTCGAACTGCCGCAGAAGTGGCATAACTAATGTTTGCCACCTTATAAACATTCCAAGCAATCGCAATTTGCTATGACTTATGATGTGCCAGCCCCCTTTCCCCACCCCCGCCACCATGCCTTTTTGCCAGCCTTCTCTTTTTGGAAACTGAACACTCCTTTTGTCGAGAAAAACCTTTTGGGCTTCACACCCCCTTGTGATTTCTCCTCAGGTGGCGCATGGCCTAGTTTCTACGAGGGAGGAGGTGGCACCAGGACAGCTGAATGCGATGTGATGTTGCGGCATCAAGCGGGAAAGAATCCGAGCCGGCCATCATAGCCGGTGCGTGCAGAACATTCAATGTCGGTGAGCTGGATAGGGTCATTTGCCGCATCTGTGCGCCGGCGACAAAAGACACCAGAGCGAGGTGGACGATGGGCCCTGAGGTCCATTGCCAACCCAGTTTACGCAACTACGCACGATCTTCAGCACATTCACGCTGGGCAGGTTCGACTGTGCTACATGGCCTATGTGTGTTGTGGCACCCTCAACTTCCTTTTCTCCTTTGCCGGCGCGCCCGATTGCTCAAACCGCTCATTACGTTTGGCGGCAGTTCTGACGCCATTTCTGATGCGCTGCAAACCGAATGTACCCGAATGGGACAGCCGGAGGTCAGCCCATGATCAGGCCTCACTTACCGACCTTCCCTTTGTGTTCACGGCGGACCAGCTGTGGTTGTGCGTGGCGCGTCTTTGTCCTGGCCATGCACCTTCGTCCTTCCAGTAGCCGCTTATCGGCACGCAGACTATGTCGCAGCACTTCAGAATTTCCGAAAACAGGTGGGACACTCTCTCTGGCCACATGCCGCGGATCCCCTTCAGCAGGGCTTCCTCCAAGAAACGGAGCCGAGGACTGAAGACCGGCGCGCAGGCCTGCCGTCAGTCGCGATGAGGCTCATGTCAAGGTGGACTAATGTGACACGTCAGGTGCGGCAGCGCACACAGAGGATGCTCGCAAATGTCCAATACCGCTCATGAAGTCCTGAAGTGGGAAGTCATGAAGCTAATGAAGTCACGAAGGTCATGAAGTCACGAAGGTAATGAAGTCACGAAGGTAATAAAGTCACGACGATAATGAAGTAGCGAAGGAAATGAAGCCACGAAGGTCACCTTCGGGTTTAGGTTGTTTCATATTTTAGGGTCTTACGTCCCTGGTACCTTTCATGACCCCTTCGTGACCTTCATATCCGGCAATGACAGGTATCCGACAATCTTGAGGATGCTGTCTTGCAAGTGAGCGAAGGTGCAGTGACAAAAGAAAGTTTCGCGACTGTATAACACAATTTTGGCGCGTTTCGAGCTCGGCGGAATCTCTTGGGAGTTTTGCTTCAATCTTGCGCCAAGTTCTGAGAGAGCTTCATTTTGCCAAATCACGTGGTTTCGCATATTCTGCGTGCAAGCATCATGTACACAGCCTCTTCGACACCAACATTCCTACGTTCCGAGTAGGGCGTTGATCGAGAATATAACTAGGCGTAAAGAAGTCTTGGCCCACTGTGTCCCACGGGTCATGCAGTAGCGTGGAACAGAAAAGCCGTAGCATGGTTGGCAAGAAAGAAAAGAAAATACGCCTCTGGGTGGCGCAAAAAATACACCACGCTGCTGTGGGGCACCCGTCTGAATGGCGCAACGTGCATAGTTCACCTGCCATGTCGGACTGGGAGGGTCCACGTTGCGCACTATCCAAGTCCATGCAGCCCTGCATATCTCCAATTCACTTGAGCAGCCGGCTTTGAGGTGTTGAGCAAGGGCGCATACACCCGACTGAGCAACCTGCAGGGGAGTGGCCAAAGCGTGGCTATCCACGGCGTAGAAATGATGGGGTCCCTTGGGGTCGTCTCGTCCGTCCGATGCTATCAACCCTTGGTGTGAGAAAACGCACGAACACGATTCAGAGCGTCTCCCGACCTGGTCTGGCACTAACGCAACAGGCAGTCTCCTGAAAATACTAGCTCCGTGGCACCTGGCGGGGGTTGCACCAGGCACTAAATGTCTCCCGACCTTCACCGCAATGCTGTGGCACCGTCGTAAATGTAAACAACACTCATCAGATGTCCGCGGCGCATCTTTCAGCATGGCAAGTTGTCGAATTAACTAGCGCTGCTGCAGAACATCCCTACACCGTCCCAGGCGCCATTTTGAAGGCTTGTGCTGCGCATTTGCATTACTGCTCGTTGTGGACTACAGACATGGAGCCAGCTGCCCCATCTTTTGCCCTCGGGCAGCGCATGAACGTAGCCCCGATTCTATGCATTGTCCTGGCAGCAGTGCCCGACTTAACGCCGGCCCTTACCGGTCCCACATTCACACTCAAATGTCGCCCGCCTCCCAGCCTTTGCTATTTAAAGGGAGCGACTTGACTCAAGAGCGCTTCAGCGCAACCATACTTCCGTGCGGCGCACGACAGGGATGGGTCAGGCAGCCACATGGCAGGCAACCGCCCACAACATCCAATGAGTGCGCCGTGCTTCTGCTGAAGCCAGAAGTTCAGCCCCTTAATGATTTCCGTCGGGGGGACTGCGACTGGTAAATCGCAGTCGCCTCAAACGCAAACCTCTCAAAAGACCACAGCTTCA